GACTCGGCCACATCCATACTCTAAAAGATAAGCATGGCATACATATTTCACAAGGTATAGTTTCCCATGGGAAGTAGTAAAAATCTGCTTCCTGAGTTACGGACTTGATAGCGGTGTGGGCCTACAGTTGGCATTCCGTGACGTCACGGGCGGCAGGAGTGATGCCAAGACTAACTACGTTATCACATGTAATCCCTGGTTTCTCTTACTGTATCCACACTCGTATGTCAAACACATGGGATTCTCCATCTTTTAGGAAAACAAGCGGGGCACTAATCCCACTGTACAGCCTGACAAATGGTCGACTTTGTCAGGGGATCATTTCATCCACTTGGGCAGTGACAAGCTATTTATTACGTCCCAGGCTATAAGACACCGCTTAGTTTTGATAATGATTAAAACCGTGGAAGGTTGTCTATTTTGAGTCTACGGATCCACAGTGGTCAATAGCTATTAAGACGCTTCTAGAGCATTTAATTTCATATTTTGAAAATGTCAACAATCCCACTTTTCTCACCTGAACAATAAGTGATATAGAAACTAAAGGTAACATTTGCAATGCAAATGAATATTAATGTTTACTATGATAAAAGTTCATCTTTGTTGGTAGTTAAATGTTTAAAGTTAAACCTTTTGTTCTAACACAAGGGATTGTTCTCACCTATAGCTTTTGACCAGTCACTCTGGTCTTCTTCAATTGATTGACCCAGTGAGACTTGTCACGTGGCCTCTCTGAAGTGTGACGTCAACACTAAGTCATAGGTATCTGGTAAACTCCGAAAAAAATTATTATTATCATTATAGAAAACTACTGCTCTGTTTATTCTTACTAAAGCACATTTATACAGTGGCGCTTGTCCTTCACCTTGCAACAGGATGTAATCCAACACCACAGGGTGTCAGCTACAGCACCAGTTACCATGGTGACAGGCGTCTGCTTCAAGCTATTGATCTTATTTGATTGGAACGGAAGAAGTCCAAGAAACAATATGTTTCCTTCTGCGAAGGTTAACAAAATAAAGGGCAATGACGTTATCGGACATAATTTCTTAAAGGAATAGTGACGTGTTTAGACACAGAGCAAGCTACTGAAATTTGAAACAACATTTCGCAAATAAAGTCTGATAGATTACTGACGTCAATACAATGGTATTCACATGTAAATCCTATAACCCGGCCGATACACTGGGGTTTAGACTTTCAATTCATGCAGTTAGGTATGGATGAGATTCAGCTGAACACCTCGACGTAGTGTCAAAGGAAATAGGATTTTCTCGGTCAAAACTAGCCTGAAATTGTTCTAACACGTCAGTTGCCCAGGAAAATTGAGGTGTGACCCGCGACTGCCCTGGTCTCAGCTATCATGGCAGCGGCTTCGTGCCTTGTACATATGAGGAATACGGCGACAGAATATCTCGGACTGGGAGTATGTAAATCTCTAAAAAAAACCGCTTCGTCTCGCATCATCAATCTTCTTACTGCAGGATAACCAGAGAAAATTGATTTCTCGAGCATCTCTAAAAGCCTTGTCGTCTTGTGGGTTGAATGTATGAAGTGAAGATCGACAATACTATTTCTTTTCATTAAATTGTAAATGAGATGCTGTATCTTGTTTCTGGTATAAAGTACTTTGATTCCAAACAGAAACAATCCAATAACGTAAATGAAAAACAGGATATTAGCGTGGGTGTTAGGATTTACTATACGAGCTCTCTAGATTATTTTAGCTAAAGCTGTGTGATATTAAAAAGAAAAGTTAAAATCCCTATGAATATTACTACAAAAAAAGATGAAACAGATTATTGACGATCTCGATGCTGGTCGAAACAATACACCCTGAAATGATGACTGTACAGAAATTGTCGATAAGCTGTTGACATTGCAATAATGGTTAAGCTACAAAATCACTCCGAAGAGTTACGGGTATTTATTTATTTATTCATTCATCGTTTGATTCAGGCAGAGCGCATAGACAACATAGACAACACAAAATACATAAATTTAAAAATACAATGTCTAGGATAAAAGAAACTTAGCGAGATTTATTGAGCGAGCGAGGGTATATTGAGTAAGCTATTGATAGTTACATATCTCACGTTTCCTATGTCCTGAAACGTTAGCTAGTTACGATACAGACAGAAACTATACCAAATCAGATATATGGGAGTGCCTTTTGGATAGGGCGCCGGGGACGATCGGTTATTCCAGCAGCTCTGTAAAGGTAATAGGCTTGCCATCTCATGCAGGAATGATTGAACACTCTTTGGGCAACTTCTTGAACCTTTAGTTACCTTATATAGTATTACATGTACAGCGTATTTCAACAACGAGATGTTGTTGTAAAGGGACCTACGTTTCTAATGTCGAAGTGGCAATTTTGATTAATATTGCCGTTATTTATGACTCAAGAGCTTGGTACACGTCTATACGTATGTCTTTGTCTGAAGTTACGGGTGTATCAATGTAAGGGATGACTCGACAGGACTGCTGTTAAAATTATTTCACTCCATAGTATAGTATTCTCTCAGACCGTGAAGTTAGTAGTAGTTACAATCTCATTAGTAGTATTTAGATACCTGCAATACATGTATATAACTTATACGATTGAGATAAGTTTTAAGTAAAGCTGTCGAGATTTAAAGTGCTTGTCCTTGTATTTTTGTAAAAATAAAAGGAAGATAATAGCCAAGTGCCATTTTTGTAAAGAAAGCTGTCGGGATTCAAAAAGCTTGTCTTTGTATAACTGCAGTATGATTTATTCAGAATCTTTTATTTTTGTTTGGGGAGGGAAATGGAGTAAAATATTACATTTGCTACGAAGCAAATGTTGGCCTTTCTAGTTATACTTGGTGTAGCTATTTCGTAGTCTGGTATGAACCACATAACTTTGAGATTCACCGAGTAATGGCTATAATCCATCTAAAGGTCTAAAATATTCTAAACTTGCCGCCAAGCATAACAATAGAGTCCCATCACATATGGACAGTATATAACAAAGAGGCAACCACTTAATCACATTTACCCTGTCAACACATAATGGAAAATGACATGCTTTTGATGACAACAAAGAATTTAATTTCGTTTACATACACGTTGTGAATTCGAAATACGTGTATTTTAAACAAAACACTTTTTTTCGTCAATATAAACACAATTAATCCTCATGGTCTCAGGATTTGAAAAAAAAAAGATCTAGCAGATGACTAAAACATCAACTGCCTCAGCATGAGTTTTGTGTGTTCCAATACGATAAAGAATATCTTTGGAAAAACAGTCGCTGTGAAACTGGATTTCGCTGGCCAAACACAAAAACGGGGAGCTAGATTGTGAGGATTAGACAACTTTCTATTGTAAGCCACTTAGATATTGGCTCAGTGGGGAACACGTCTGTTTGCATGTGAGTGATGGATGGTCTAGGTTCTCATAATTCCTATTTGTTCAGCTCCGAGCGGGCAGAGATTACACCAGTCTGTGGAGGGGGGCTGTAGGAGAGTGTAATAACAAGATAGACTTCTTATCATTATTTCACTCTTCAAAGTCTTACGAAGATGTATGACTTGCAGCAACGTTTTGAAAATATGTGATACTTTTAGTTAGCGGCGTCTGGCTCCTACCAGGGCAGATACATGACATTTACATGTCTGGATTCTGCACCAAAGAAATTCATCCTGATTTCAAAGAGATGATATTGCAGACACAAAGCTTTGGAATTCTACCACTTTACAAGAACGTTGTATTGATTATACTATAGTGCCTATAGGTCTGGAATTGAGGTATCCGATGTGGCAAATTGTAGCCAAAATCTGTTATCTAACGTTCGAAACACACGCTGTATTGTCTTTGGGTGTTTCAATTTTGCGATATTTGGATGCTTTATTAACTCATTACCTTTCACACGATTCAAATACAGATGCTTTTCTTCTTAATTTTTTTTTACAAAACCATATAGTAAAATTACCTAGCTGATCAATTACAACTATTTACAAATGTACACAAAAGAACTCCAAAAAGAATAGTGTGAGGTGTAATAGTAAAACAAACAAACAAACAGGCAAACAAACATATACCAGGAGCTCCTGGCGAAGTTTGTTTTAAGATACAGATTATACATGGTATGACAAACTGTTCCCACTGGATGTGAATCTATAAATAAAGGTATTTTCATTTAGCGTTTGTTTTTTGGTTATATTTCCTTGTATGCGTCTGTCATTACATGTCTTGTAGCTGTGCTGGTGTGTCACAGGAGACGGTTGTAGAGAATTCAAACTGCTGGTTGTTGTGTGGCAAGGATCTTCTGGATTTGGCAGATAGTGAAATCTTTTCTTTGCTGTCCGCGATGACGAGCCGAGTGGGTTTGTTTTATGGAGGTCTTAAGCAGCTTCCTGTCCTAGGCAGTTTAAAGCTACCGTCAGACATAGCCGAAGATGGCCTCCTGAACACTAGCCGAACTCCCTTCAACCATTGTTAGGAGTAAGTCTGGAGCAATGTCGACTGGTCTTCGGCCATGCTGGCTACTATTCGGCTGTGCAGACCGAATGTTTTAAAATGTTTAAACATTTGGGTGTGGTCAACCATGGTTAGCTGATTTAGAAGTGGATAGGGGAGTGGGATGCTGTCAAATTTGACCAGAGTTTAATAAAGTATTTTTGTTATTTGTAGAAAGATAGACATGGCCTGAATCTGGCCAGACAGCTCAGGGACATGGAAGGAAGGTGCTGAATGTGTGATATGGGTTCAGCCATTGGTTTCTTATCAATAACAATATACATAAGAAGAAATGAATTTTTTGCAAGATGTGTACCAATGTTTATCAATGATTAATATTGTGGCAATTCCTATCTCGAAGAAGAACACGTTTTTTGTAATACTTATAGCATACTAAATTAAAACCATGGACGTGCATACTGTGCTCATGCACATGTTATTACTTTGCCATCGGGTTCAGACAGCATATTACAGTTTTATTACAATCTATTTGCAATGCGTTGTTTTCGTTTCAGATGCGTTGGCTTCTCCACCAAGCATAACGGGGAACCGTAAATTATACAACGTCGGCGAGGAGCTCCGACTTAAGTGCCGCTCGGAGGGAGGGAAGCCATTAGCCAAGCTGAAGTGGTACAATGGGACCGAGTTGTTGAAGCCGACGGAGGAAGTCAAGCGGACAGGACCCACAGGAGACACCGTGGAGATAGAGCTGCATCTCCTGTTCCTGACGAGATGGGAGAACGGGGCTAACATCACGTGTCTGGCGGATCAGGGCGTGCCGAGAGTCTCCCCATCACAAACCACCTCCGTACAGCTACAAGTTTTATGTAAGGCCACACCAAGTAAATTGTATGGATGACGTCCTTTGGAGACCCTAAATCTAATGCGAGATGGCGAAAAAAACAAGAAGGGCCCAAAAAACCAAGATGCCTAGATTAGAAATATACTAAGAGACGACAACTGTTAGGACACAAATTGAATGAGTTGACACAGTGTAACAAGCAAGAAGTCTTTTATTCATCATCAAAACAGCAATAAATTAGGTGGAACAGTGGACAGTGAAAAATTTTCTGTTATTGACAGGATGGTCCTGTCAATAGTGCAAATGTTTTGTTATTGACAGGATGGTCCTGTCAATAGACACTTTCTTTGCGTTACGGGTTTCACATCAATCTGGTGATTTGCGGCACTGTCGTGACTCTTTGGTCATAGTTACAGGAAGCGGAATCTCTTGGGTTTTTTTTCTAGGAACAGGCCAAAATCAATGCACGCGCGGACGTCATCCATAAAATTTACTTGGTGTGGCCTAAGCAGCACTCTGAAGATAAGGCCACACCAATTTAATTTGTTGGTTCTCGGCTTCGCCTCTTCATTTTTTCTGATTTGCAAAAAAAATTGCTTCTGAATCAACTGAAAAATTATCATATTTTGCCTACAGTTAAGAAAAGTCCTATTCATCCTAGTTGTTACAGTTTTTGTTTTATTACCTTCGCCAAGAAGGTTATGTTTTCAGGGGCGTTCGTGTATGTGTGTGTGTGTGTGTGTGTCTGTCTGTCTGTCTGTCTGTCTGTAAACACGATAACTTGAGAAGGCCTTGATGGATTGTCTTGATACTTGGTAGGTGGGTAGGTCTTGATGAGACCTCAAAATGATTAGATTTTGGGCCCCCTAGCGGCTTGTTATGGTACTGCAGCTGAACTTCCGGTTTTGATATCTCATGATCTAGACATGCTATGGTGATGAAATTTGGATGGTAGGTAGCTCTTGTGCTGGGGAAGAAGTGACGTGAGTTTGGGCCCCCTAGCGGCTTGCTCTAGAACTGCAGGGATATATTCTTGAAAATATTCAAAAGGGGATAACTCAAGAACCGATTGACGGATCGTCGTGATTTTTGGTATGTAGGTAGCTTACGCGATGTTTAATATAATTATGTGACAATTATGCAAATATGGATGTAATTTGCATAATTTATGGGGAAATTCTATAAATCAGCTGCATTCCATGATAGGACAATTGAAGCTTGTGACATTGGTAATTGACAATGAGAGAAACACAGGAAGATATTGATTATGTTAATAATGACTTAATTTGCATAATTAATGAGAAAATTTTATAATTATGTAATGATAACTGCCTGGAATTTCATACTTGTGGTATTTGAAAGTTTAGTTGACGTGAACATCATTAAACACAATTTATTCAAATCAGGACCTCATTTGCATAATTTATTAGGAAATGCTAGAATGCATTGTTTGTTAACATATATAAGACTGTCTTTTGGTTGAGATTATGATAGAATGATTAATTCATGAAAATTAGGTTCCTATTTCTTAAATCAGGGGGGAATAATCTAATCTATAATTTGTCAGTCATAAAGTTTAACATCATTTGGCGAAGGTATGAGATCGGGGAACTCTAGTCTATCAATGCAGTGGTTTGATTAAAAGTTAAAAATTCATTTTTTAAATACTAACCCAACCTTTTGTGTTCACTTCATGGCTCCTATCGTAGCATTTGAGGCTATAATAGGATGCCTAGACCTGCAGTTTTTTTAAATTATTTTTTCCGCCCTGTCGCTTTATATATTTTTTTTTAAATCCGAGAATCAACAAATTAAATTGCTATGGCCATGTTTGTTTGGATGACATCCGCCCGCTTGAATTTTCGTGCGTTACCAAAAATGTTTTCCACCCTACCATAAATTAGGCAAAGTAAAGAGACTCTTTTTACACGAATAAGTGTTTTATTTACAGCCGTACTATAGATTAATATACACAGCAGCTATACAAAGAGCAAATATATGCCATAAATTGCAAAATAAAATATTGGAAAACGATACTAATGTCGTAGAATGCCCAAAGCTTTTTCAAAGGAAAAGGATAAAAATGTGAAGATCTAGAAATGAAAATGAAGAGTCTATTATTCCCCATGACATACTATGTGTGGTAGGCATTTGTTCCACCTCCATAAGCAAGTAGATTTCATAATGAAAGCAACTTTTTTGGCCAACCTTTTTATTCACACGCTCGCATCAGTTTTGGGTTGCCCAGTGGATGTCATCCATATAATCAAATCAACATGGCCTTATTTACGCACTTTTATTTCTGGAACTGGAAAGAGCCGTAAGAAATGTGCAAAATATCTTCTGATGGCCAAAAAAATTACTCAAACTCTTTACCTGACAAGAATGTGTGCAGCCTTCAGACGGAATATTGATCATCTTTCGTCACTTATTGGCTGCCCCCATTTATATACACTTAGGGGCTTACTACTACCTTGATCATAAATTGTGTCCTGGAAGCGGACATACGGTGGGTACAAATTGCATGTAGCACGAATTAAATATTTTCGTTGACCTAAACCGGGTTGAATAAAGAACATTTGGTAGAAAAAAAAAACTTGACCCAAACTTTAATATCTGTAATTGATAAACTAAGACAAACTTACACATAAACCTGATAACGACTTTTTTCTAAATGAAAATAAGATATATTCTGTTCGTGCAAAAATTTTAGACTGCAAATCTAAGTCTATTTGCCAACAATTTGCCAACCCCTGAGGTAAAATGGCGTCAACCACTTCATTTCTTTCTGCCAGCTCAACATCACAGTTACAGGCATGTCGCTTTTTATTGAGAACTCTTACCTGAATAAATACGATGGATTACTTCTTGACATCGTCTCAGTGAAATGGGAAGATAAGCTATCGTTTCAGGACACATTTCGTAAGTACTGAGCGGCTGTGGCAGCTGGCTGTCATTTTGCGGAGGCAGACGCTGTTATTCCTGTCATGAGATAAAACACGCTTGACTGTAACAAGGTATTGATGTGCTTCTGTAGATCCTCCAGCCGTCAGTGTGCCAGAGAGGTCTGTGGTTGCCCTGGAGGGGAGAAACGTGAGTCTGAGTTGTCTCTCCGACGGAAACCCGCCCGCTGATGTCACATGGAGCAGAGACGGAACAGTACTTCCGCAGTACGCGATAATAAGGTGTGGTGTGGACTGCAAAGTACGCTCTGTATCATCACCAGTACCCGGTATTAATCAAAGTTTTCAAAGTCAAGGACGGGCATTGAAAATAGCTCGCTGTTCAAAATATGTCTTCAGATTAGAATATACCTTTTTTTTACAATGAAGATGTTTCTTGCAAATTCATGCCCGAGGGCTAATTGCAAAGCGACATTGACAAAAAATGTGGTGATATAAGACTATTTGCTAACATGAAGTTCTACGTGTACGATATACTTATGAAACCTACTATCTCTATAATTGTCACATTGAAGTCAAATAAAACAAACTGTCGGTGTTTACACTAATGCCTATCCTTAATGCCACGGAGATAGCAAGTAATAATATAACGCTGTATGGCCGTCTATCGTTATAACGCTTGAAAGTGAAGGACATGTTCTGCATTAAACAGGGATGGCTTCCATCTGCACATATCATCTTCAGCACATCTATACCTACAATGGTTGAGGACATACTTAGAATAATTCGCAATGTTTACATAGTACATCGAACAACTGCATTATCTAGTAGAATCTATGATTGTATGGGCAGTATATGATCCTCGTAAGATGCTTTTTCTTGGCAGTGTTAAATAACGAACCACGACTTTCATTTAATCTCTTCAAGCAACTTTTTTTGGGGGCTCAAAAGCCCTAGCAGACAGTGTTTTGTGAATCATTACAGATTTATTTCTGTTAGCGCAAAGCCTTTTATTTGTTCCTGTCTTGTCCAACCATGCAGAAACTCGTCGTTGCTGATACCGAGAGTGTCCCAAGCAGACAGCGGTTCTTACGTGTGTGAAGCCGATAATGGGATCGGGCCTATCGGGACGGGACAAATCACTATGGAGGTCATATGTAAGGCAGACATCCATTCCATCGATGCCTCCCTATCTTTGCCATCAAAGACACTAAAAGCTAACGCTGACCAGAAGGGGGCTTTGTGATGTTAATGGTTTCACCGCATGGCAACTATAGAAGTACCCATTAGACTAACGTGATGCATGGTTTGTCTCATTCTATAAGATTGTCGCGTATCGGGGGAATTGTGGATCGTTTGAAAATATCCATTAGCTCTTTCCTGGTGAGGGTCAGTGGGCCCTTGTCTTAAGACTTGAATACTGGCTAATTTCCATCAAAAAGTGTTAATGTGACAACTGCTTGATGCAAGAACAAATCATCGGCTTACGGGGCTTTAGTATCTAATGTACCTAGTTTGTATGCAATTGAAACGTGTATGCCATGGCTTGTCGTATATTACCTTCAACACACAGCTTGCCTGAAAACTATTCATTAATAGATTGTGTAGATATTCTGCACAAGGCGTTACGGCAATCTTGCAAATCCTGCAATCGTTTTTTTTTTGGCAAACGATAGTTATTACCGTATATCTTAGTACATAAGATCAAATTCAAATAGCGTGTTCCCAAATAAGTATCAATGGAATAGGATGTACATATGTATCAATGGGGCACGAGTAGACCGGCACCCTTGTTTTAGCCATTAACACTAGAGCTTATCACAATGACCGTTAGTTGTTGCATCTCCATCGAATAATTTATTTTTATGAACTTTCATGCCTCTCTATTAGTTCCACCAAAGATAAAGCCAACCTTTGACCAGGAGATAAGTGTTCTGTACGGACAGGACGTCTTCACGGTGGAGTGTTTGGCGGAGGGAAATCCCAAACCGGATGTGAGTTGGCGGCGGAGGGATACATTTCAGCCATATGACAACCCTTTGACCTTGTCACCTTTGAACTATCAGACGGAAGGAGTGTATACTTGCGTTGCAAGAAGTAAAGGATTTTCTGAGATTACGAGAGAAACATATATAAACGTTATAGGTAAGCTTTAGATATTTTAATATTTTAAACATACGTTATAGGTAAGCATTAAATATTTTATATTTAAAACATACGTAGACAAATAAAGATTTGTCCATGTATGTTTTAAAAGAGAGGAACGACCATGTAGACATAGACGTAATATATAGAGTAATTATTTACTCCAGTTACATAACCTAGTGTATTTGACCGATGTAGGACGTGAATGTGCAATTAAGTTCATTGTCATTATATCATCGTCACTTTAACGTTAGAAAATGAAATAAATAGCACGGACAAACGACTTAGGGTAGATTCAAATACGAGAGATGGCTGTTTTTATGTAAATTGAAGACTTGCAAGTTACTGGTATGGTATGGTAAACTGAAATTATGAGTTGCAATAGATACCAATAATTGCCATAATGAGTGACGCGTTTTTTTAAACATAGATACTGACATAATACTGTGATCTAAAAAGAATTGAAGATGAGCAGCATTTTGCAATAAAATGTAAAAGACACTATATACTACCGCAAATTTACAATATCAGCTTTGTATTCCTGTGTTTTAGCAGCATTTTGTTTCTGACCTGAAATTCACTTAGTTGCAGTTAATTGAGAATGCATAAATGTAACGTTATCTGTAGTCTATTCTTCCGTTGTGACCTGTACATAAACCAGTGGGTACATGTGTACAATAAAGGTCTTCATTATTTCCCAAAACTTACACACAAAGAAAAAACTATTCTTCTTTTAACTTTCCAAAATTTTAGAACATTTTAGAAAATGGTTTACAAAAGAGAAGTCAAACCCTTCAGGCATAGTATTAGACATAGCAATAGTTTTAGACAATTAGATTTCATTATGTTCATTTTGAAGTTACTTTATACTCTGTTTCATAGTTATTATTTTATGTTTGTAACTTACAATTAGCCTTCGGGCATGGATTTTCAATAAACATCTCATTAATTTTAACCCCAGGCCGACCAGAAGTTGTGAGTGAGCCGGCGTCAGTGTCAGCTACTGCGGGAGACACGGTAAAACTCACCTGCACGATAGCCTCCGACCCTCTGCCTGACGATGTCATCTGGGAGATGTCTGAGGACGGTGGAAAAAAGCTGGAGTTCCGAACCGGGAAAACTGGAGGAATCTTCGTGACGAAAACCGTGATTACGGCGAACAGAGTACACAGTGCCTTGGTTATCAGATCGGCAGAGTCTGTGCATGCGGGGGAGTACGCCTGTACAGCTGCCAACATGTTCGGAAAGGATAGGCAGCAGTTTACTGTATACGTCACTGAAGGTGAATAGTGGAGACTGTAACAGGATATTATCGGCATCCAATGCAATTTTAGGGTTTCAAAGTCAATTTTCTGGTCATTTTTAATGTAGCAAGTTAAATCAATGCCATTCCCTGGTACATGTGATGTCACTGACGGAAAACTGCTGGTTTGTTTGTATTGAAGGGTGGTTATAGCTATTTTTTCCTGAAATAAAGTCCTTCATTCATTCATTCATTCATTCATTATATGTGGTACTCAGAAGAAAAAAAAGCTACGTCCCACGTAGATTGTTGGTCTATTTCAAACGATTCAAGTATGAAATGGTAGCATGGATGTGCTAACAAGTAGCAGTTGATATCAATATCAAGAATATTTCCTGATCCATATTTTTATTTTGTATTACGCCCAGAAACTGCAGTGGATGCCTTTAACAGAAACTAACAAGAAACTAAACATAACATTTCCAATATGGAGACCGTATCAGAATTGCTAAAAAAATCATTATCTCCTTGAATCACAGATGACGAAATTATGAATGAAATTGATAACTCTGCAACACGGTAAACTTACATTGTACTGTGTAGCTAACCTAGAAGAGGGTTGTTGTATGTAAATGTATGTTATTGTTATCATGAAAGTTCGTCTGTGTTAGTAGTAACCATAGTAAAACGTTGAACTTTATTCCAACACAATGGTACACAGAGATAAAATTTTCAGCGACCACTGTCGCCTTCATCAGGATAATTAATGACCAATCACCAATATTAGGGCACTCCAAACATCACCTGATAGAGACGGTGGACGATATAAACTCCCTGGCATGTTTGATCAATTGCTGGCGTCATGTATCTGTAGAGTCTCGTGTGAATATGGTAACGTGTCTGTAACCGTAACTCGAGATGACGTCGTGAAGTGATTGGTCATTAATTATCCTGATGAAGTCGCCAGTGTTCGTTGAAAATTTAAATCTCTCTTTACCCGTCGTGCTGGAATAAAGTTCATCATTTTAGTATGCTATTGTTTTTTTTTTATATCAAAACTACATACATACAATGTACAATGCAATGAACCATCCCTTACACAATAATTCAAATCAACAAATCACTGATCATAATAACAACAATACTTTGTATAGTAAATAATAATAATAATCAAATAATCATAATATCAAAATGATTCATAACAAGTCATTGATCAGAACAAAATCATAAACAATGATTTAAATAATACCAAATCAATGAGCATAACAATAATCAACAATATTTCAATCATAACAAATAATTGATCATAACAATAATCATATAATATATATCATAACAAATCGATATTTTGTATTATTATAATCATTGATCATTACAATAGTATGCTATTGTTGACGTGTGTCATTTGTCTCTTACGCAGGCAGTTCTGATGTCCTACTGGTTGCTGCAGTCACCATTGGTGTCGTGCTGGGAATTGTATTTGCCGTACTTATAGTGCTGTGCCTTAGAGCGAGAAAAATACCTATCTGTTGTTTCTGTAAGTAACCTTTATCAAAATTAATAATACGTATCTTGACAAGAATATATGACCTATAATTGTGTGTTTGGTAGTGAATATGCTAAAATTTTTATCAGTCAGTCAATTGCATGTCCTGTTTTGCGGTAATGCAATTCTAATGTGTTTTGTTAATCATAATGCATCTGCTAAAACCTATCTATTAGCCAATTGCACTTCGTGGTTTGCGATATTGCAGTTGTGTTTTGTTCACGATAGCGAATATGCTAAAAAAACTAGCAATTGATTGCACTTCCTGGTTTATGACATTGCAATCTGGTTTGATTTTGGTCACCGTAGCAAATCTGATATTCCTTTCTAGCAGTCAATTGCACTTCATGGTTCTTGATGTTGCAAGTCTTAGTTTCCATATCTGCTAAAACCTCTCTGGCAGTCAACTGCACTTCTTGGTTTGCGATATTGCAATTCTGATATGTTTTTCTAGTCATAAGGAATCTGCTATAAAAACCTATAGAAGACAATGGCAATGGCAATTCTTGATTTTTAATATTGCAGCGTTCGCTATCGTGCCCTATCGTATCGCTCAGGGGGTGCTCTAAAAGATTTCAAGGCTACGTTGTGAACAATCTGTTTTCTTTAAAGCTTCCACTAGGGGATGTGACAAACGATTTGTGAATGTGTAATTGGTTTTCCAGCTGACAGGGATACAAGGACGTGCGCGCTGAGTCCTTGTTGTTCCCGATCTAATGACGGTTTTACTGCCAAGCCACCTCTCGACTCAAGGTAACGTCAACATAGCTATCAAAGGCACTCCCTCATTACCTCCATGAAAAATGGAGGTATTGTTTTTGGTGCGTCTGTGTGTGTGTGTGTGTGTCTGTCTGTCTGTCTGTGTGTTTGTGTTTCCGCACATTTGTAGTCAGCATAACTTCAGAACGCCTTTATGGATTGTGATATTTGGTATGCTGATAGGTCAAGGTCAAATATGGGCCTCCTGGTGGCTGACCTTGGTATTGCAGCAGAACTTTTGTATTTTGTTTATCGGCGTTTTGCTTATTATACTCAAAAGTGTATTACCGTAATCCCTCCTGAAATACAGGTACACAAATATTTAACGTCAAAACGGGATACCAAAGGCCCCCTTTTTTTCGGTGCAATACTGTAACACTTCACTGTGTATTGCACCCTCTACTAAAACAGTCAGGTACATAAATATTTGTAAAATCAGCAACCTATGTTTAATTGCGAAACGTTGCGGATGCCATCAAACTGAAGAATTTTACTCTTTCTACACAAGTTAGACTATTTGACAGTGTTTGAATTGATTTTGAGATTGCGTTTGACAACAGATATGTCAAAGGTCGTTATTGGTGTCATTTCAGCTTGAAGATGTCACAAGATCTAACATCCACCCTCGAGCTGCATAAGCTGAATGGTGTATCGAAACAACGGTCTACTATCAGTCTGGATACAGTCGGTCTATCCAGCCAATGTGAGTCATTTATTGTCGTCACAATATCTGATAGGTGCGTTTTCTCGTTATCTAAATCTGCTATGTAATATTGCCTGGAAATTCATCAGATGGGTTTCATCGATCGGCAGTTTAACTTGTCACACATGACAAGCTGCAGGATTCGCGATTTTATCCCTTTTCCAATGCGGCACGGAGTAGTTTCCTTATATCAAAACAGTTTCGCTTAATGGAGTAACATTTCCTGCATGTCTGCAAGGACGTTCACGACACACAGCGCACGGTAGCACTTCTTCATGGTTAAGCAAGATATACAGTGTAGAGGGAGTATGGAGACATCGCCTATTACGGATGACATTTACACGGGGTATAGGACGAGGTGGGGGAACAATCGAAAAGACATATTGAATAGGTTTTCTTAGAATAGAGCCCTGCAATTTAGAGACGCAATTCTGGTAAAGTATCAGTATATTTCGATCGAGCCATATAGCGTCTCTTCTAAGCTGAGCTTATCCAACTGTTTAATGACTTTTAGTGTCTTATAGATTTTCGTTGTACAGGGTGAGAGCTAACAAGAGTGTATTTTATGGGACTACTGTGTGTATTTTATCAGTTCCAGAGGCGAAGAAGTTCGAGTATGGAAGTCTTAACACACACAGAAGAGGCTACACAGAGGATACAAAGTACCAGAGACACTGTCCATACTACATTGGCGAACTTACACTCAGACAGGAGAGTAAGGTATGTAGGGCAGTCTGACACACATTCACAAATTTAGCCTCCCAACCATGGTTAGGTGTAGGTCGGCACAAAGTCGCCTGGTCTTCGGTGTATTCACTTTTAGTCGGCTGCAAAATGCTTAAAACATTCAGGGGTTGGTCGGCAGGTTTGACCATGGTTTGCTGGTATCCGACTGTTAGTCAGCAGAATAACAGCCAACCATTCGGTAGTAATTATAAGTCAGCAGTTTTGGGGGGCGTGTCGGGGGTCGAGTTTGATTCAAATTTAACTCAAATTCGCTTCAATTCTTATAGCAAGGTAGGCGTGGCCTAAATCTGGCCAGAGTGCTCTCGATCTCAAACGCCCTGGTCGTCTAGTGTTCTGAAACATATTCGGATGAAGGTCGTGAATATGTGACAGACAGGGCCTTAACGTCTCTAAAGTAACGAAGACATAGAAAAGAACGCGGAACGGAAAATATGCAGTTATGCCAGAGCATAGTTTAGTGATGAGCGGAGAACATCTGTACATTCAGTAATGGTGTTCAATCTGTGCGTGCGATTAGAACGCCTACGCCAAGCCTACACAGCTGGTACATTTATGAGACTAGAAAAATTGGTTCTCGCCCACAATTGACAAGTATTCGCCAGGCTGTTCGAACAAGCACGCAATCAGAATTTCCGATTCATATCGGACATAAACTAGGTTGGCTGGTCCTATGAGCGTTTTGTGATAAACTGTATTTCAGACGTCTGCGTCAATATTGCCTTTTCTATATAATATCAAACGCCATCTACGCAGCACTATTTCCTACCACGCATGTAGCATAATGATTTTGGATACCTTAGTGCACATCAGTTATTTAGGAACAAAAACAGGCAGGGGCATGAAATATTTTTGGTTAACCTCAGATCTTCCTATTCGTAACCCCAGTATTGTGATGTCTGGATCTAGGTTTTCGCGATTTTAACACTATGTTGCTAAGAGTACACTTAAATGAAGACATTCAACAGCTTGAATAGATTTTGTAGTGGAAAGGCTAATGGAATTCACTAAGTCCAGTTTAACCCTACCTAGACCGGGCTTTTTTTGACATGGGGGGACCGGGGGGGGGCTCTTTTGACCCCCCTAAGAACTCGCGAACGGTATGTCGTATGACCACCAAATTTTCAGAGAATGGTGTACTAGTGAAAATTTATCATATCTACAATTTTTATGTCGTTATGACGTAATATGACGTCATTATGACGTCATTAATGTGATTTTATTGGCCAAAACCGTCTAAATAGGGTTTTCCCTGAAAAACCTCCCTGGTATACAACATAACTTTACCAAAAGTGTTTATGACAGAATATTAGTGTGTACGAAGTCTTATGTTGCCCATAGCAACACCGGTGACGTCATAAAATGACGTCATGCATATTTAAGATATCCGCCATCTTGGATCATCAATCTTGAATTTTCAAAAATAGTTTTTTTTCATGATAAAGCCTAAAATACATTGTAAACATACTAAAAACCTTCATTCAAACCTTTTTGTAAAAAGAAATGGAAATATTGATGAAATTTTAATGAAAATAACCCGTATATACCTGTTCTAATGATATGGTCCGCCATCTTGGATTTTGGCCAATGACGTCATCAAATTAGCATCAATTATGCATATTTAATGATAAAATTTACATAAAATTATATGGGATGTTATTAATATTAGAAACCATGAGTAACTTGTCATAAAACCCATAAAATTCTATTGTTGAAACAAAAAGTACTAAATTTAGCAAAAAATGCCTGTCAGAAACCCGTTGCCATGGCAACACAAAAAATTATTATCTTATTCCAATGATGGAGAATTGTTGCCAACAATATTTTAGGAAAAGTCACCAAGTTTGGTCGTTTTACGGCTAGCCGTTCAGACGCTAGGTGACATCAAAGTTGCCGCGGGCACTTTTAGCCCCCCCGGTCTAGGTAGGGTTAATACTCTGGCACGAAAACAGCAACAAACTGTGCATGAAAAGTTTGACCCAAACAAGACAACAACCAGGAATATACTTTATCATAAAAAATATCTCTCTCTGCTATGCAAAATGAACTCTCCAAGTCATTTACTCCTTCTTTCTGTGAGATCACCTCGAAGATTCTGTCATCGAAATGGATTTACTGCGCGAAGGGTTGGTGGGGTGACGAGCAGATGGAGATAAGGAGACTTATATGATGGATTTAATTTGTCGGTCCATTTTAGTTACGTTGAAGAAGATTGTCGGATGTCATTTGAAACGTTCGGAAGTTTTTTTGGAAAATATCTAAAATTGAAAAATTATCAATTTGTGTATAGTATACTAAAGCTGTAAATACAGTCTAGTTGGCCTTTTCAGGCACATCCATATATCCAGAGTCGATCGTTATCTACCGAAACTGCTCCATATACCATGGCAAAGAACTCAACATATACCTTTTAGCTTAGAAATAGAAAACAAAACCCCAACAAATGATTTTCNGTCAAATGATGCCGCGTATACCAAGTGTTAATAACCGAGGTGCATATATTT